AAACGCTGAAGCAGAGCATCTAATGAGAGCAGAAATTCTTATTATCAGGCTCCAGAACACACAAACAACCAGTAAAGGATCGTTATGAGCTTGATAACCTGCAATACAATCAAGTTGAAGCAACTCTCTCCTGATCACACAAACTTGTTGCAATTTCACATTTCCACCAATTTACAAGCATGTGCCTGTTTCCAGAAACCCATACACAGACAACTTGCTCAATTGTGGATGCAGATTATAATCTCATATATCTGAGTTTCCAGGTGACAAGAATTCAACATTCCCAAATATCTTTCTTTCTATTGTCAACTAAAAGAAACTTCAATGAATGATTAACAAAAGAGAAAAAAAATCAAATATTCTCAGACATTCCAGAAACTATTAACCCCAAAACCAAATACTCAGAACTCCTTATGCCAACCTTAACCTTGACAAGTCAAAACTAAGATAAGCAGAAACCTAAACCTCACATTTCTAGAAACTCAACTCCTTTGCAACCCTGTAACCCACCAAAGCCAACACCTTTGCAATTATTTGCAGCCACCCAAAATTTCCACAGATCAAAAAATTGCAAATATCAGCCCTTTTTTCCAATTTGAAAGCCACAATGTTATGTGTCCTCTCCAAGGAATCACAATCAGAAGGACAATTTTTTCCTGCGTTCACACCAAATAACAATCAAAAATTAGAAAAGACAAAGTAAAAACAAAGAGAAGTCCAATAAACCCATCAGATAAATTTCCAAGCCCATTACATCAAAGTCGTTAAAAAAGTCATTGGGTGTCCCAAACTTCACTCAAAAGCATCGAATTATAGACAAACACATAGACCCAACATGAATTAAATAATCAGATAAGCAAAAGAAAATATTGCTCATTAGTTGTTTGATACTTTACCTGAAAGAAAAAGTTATAGGCTTCTTCTTCTTCTTCTTCTTCTTCCAATAATAAATACTTAACTAAAACGGTTGGTTCGTTGGCACTTTGAGGATTTGGGGATATTGGGAAATGTGAGGAATTTATAACATCAAGGTTCTGGGTTACAAAAGTTGGAATTCGTGTGGCTTTTCTAGGGTTTAGTGAAACAATAATGACCCCAACGTAAATAAAAAACTTCTTTTACCCCACCCTCCTAATTTACTCATCGTTCACTACACTTAATTTTTAAATCTCTCTTGAAAAGTGGAATGATGAACGAATAAATCCGAATTATTTAATCAACAATTGCTTTCGCAAAAGAAGAATAATTTGGTAGAGATAAAAAATTTATTAGGAAGTAAGTAGAGGATCAAACAAGAAACATCAATATCGTGAGTTAATTTGGAAGGTCGTGGATGTTGAATTACTTTATTATTATTCTTTCCGTCTCATTTTATATAATTTATTTTCTTTTCTAATCTATGCAAAAATTCAAGTTAAAAATAATTTAGTTTTAAGATTTTTGTTTTCCCGTAATGATATAATGATATAGACACAAAATATCTATTGCATATTTTAAATGACAAATTTTAATATTAGTAAATTTCATGTGCTATGAAAACACTTTCAGCTGAAATGAAACGAGGGGTTCTTTTATAATTTACTACTCCCTTCGTTTCGTAAAGATAAATTATTAAGAAAAGGAATCATTTTTTTTAATATATTAAAAAAAAATTACATAAATTGAAATAGCAGTAATCTTGTAGTATTTCTTATCTTGGGGGTGAAGAAAACGAAAAAAAATTGTTGGGGCGTTATTTTATTTCATTTCAGAGTAATTGGTGACGCCACTGCTTTGGTGAGCTAACTAGAATTTCTTGGGGCCTGCGAAACCGTGTGGCCCAAACACATGATAATCACGCGGAGGTTTCTTTTTTTCTTTTTGGAGTTTCCGCCAGTTATGTGCGTTGAAGATCACTCTACAAAACTAATTACTACAAATTTTTATGTATTGATTTTTTTGTTTTTTGTTGGAGGCCTAAAGTCTTTGATCAGATTTAGGTGCTCTATACGTGTAATCGGTTGTTGTTGTTAATGATAATATTTATATTGTTCCCAAAAAAAAATCTATGTATTAAGTAGATTTATTATTTCTTCCGGTACACTTTAATTAACTTTTTTTGTCTTTTGTTATAGTACATAGTATTTAATTTTTCAGATATTAAGAAGAAATTAATTTTTTTTTCAAAATTTCCCTTAGAATAAAGAGTCTAATAACATGTTTGGCCAAGCTGCAAAAATCAGCTTATTTTGTGAAGTGTTTTTTCTCAAAAATATTTTTCTCAAAAGTACTTTTGGTGAGAAGAGCAGTTTGTATTGGACTAATTAGTTTGATAACCACTTCTGAACAGCATTTAGTGTTTAACCAAACTTTTAAAAACTGTTTCTAATTGTATTTTTCTCAAAAGTGTTTTTCAAAATAAACTACTTTTTCTGCTTCTCCTCAAAAGCAATTTTTTTTCCTCCAAAAGCTTGCCAAATACTTCAACTTTGGGAAAAAAAAGAGCACTTTTTTTTATAAAAAAAATGCTTTTAGAAATGGAGAAGCTTAGCCAAATAGACTAACATATTTTCAATGAACAAATTAAGGTTAATATGATTAATTTTACTATTAATTAATACTAAAAGATGAATTCCATAATATTTGTGAAAATAATCAAAATATTAACTAAAATGGACCGAAAAAATATAAATTAAAGAGTTAATAAATAATATATTAGTGATAGTGGTAAAAAGAATATACGTAACAAAAAGGTAACAACTGAGATATGCATCATTTTATAATAATAAGTTAAAAGTGTGGACAAACTGGTGCATGCATCATCATAATATAAAGAATAAATATATAAGTTTCAAGAAAAAGTTGGAAACTTACCTATTGCTTTCTCCATTCTTATTTTTATTTGGTAAGTAAAGAATTTTATTACCAAGTAAATACTTACAGCTTACAAAACAATCAATTACTAACATCTTCTGCTGGACATGAAGCCTCATCATGAGATTTCTTCTCTACTCCTTAAACTCCTATTACAATCCTTAGTTAGCTCATACTAGATACCAATTCATATTACTTAGATAAGTATCCAACTTTTTACAATTTTGAGCTCTTATATGTATTTCCTGAACTATCGTTTTCACTATACTCTGTGCATTGATTTGTTTCTTCTGGAAAATAACATTGTTTCTGGCTTGCCAAATATGGTAGACTGTTGCAGCCAAAACCATTTTGTATATCTCTGCTCCTGCACTCTTCCCTGCTGCCTTCTTCTCTGCCCATTGAACTTCTTCCTGCCACTGTTTGTTCCTTCTCATGACCCCTTGCCACGATAGTAACTTCTGCCATATCTCGTTTGAATAATCACAGTCAAAAAATAAGTGATGCACTGTTTCATTGTTCCTGTGGCACATTGTACACAAAGTTTCATCTACTAAGCCCCATCTTGCTAGTCTTTCTTTAGTAGCTAACTTGTCTTGTATAGCTAGTCTTAAGGTAAAGATCCATTTTGGCATTCCCTTGTTGTTGCATACTAAACATCTCCATATCACCTTTTGGAAGTCCCCTTGTAGTGCTTTGTACATCTTTTTTGGTGGAAAAACTGTGAATGTACCTCACATCATCCTCTGAGTATCCAGCCTCTTGGAATTGTGCCTTGGCATTGAATATTTTCTGAATTACCCAGGAGGCATTCTTTGGTTCAGTATCCCATATATTGTTATCTTTTATATAGTATGCATGAACTCACTGCACCCACAACTTCTCTTTCTTCTTGCTAATGTTCCAAAGCAGATTACAAATAGCAGCTTTATTCCATAGTTCTATGTTTGTGAAGTTTAATCCCCCTGTTATCTTAGGTGCACATAGTTTGTCCCAAGCTATCAAAGCTTTCTTTGTTGGTTCAGCACTGCCCGACCATAAAAACCTTCCGTAGATTGTCTCAATAAATTGTATAATTTTCTTTGGCAGAATGAATACTTGTGCCCAAAAGTTCTAAATTGTTCCCAGCACACTTTTGATCAGTATTGCTCTTCTTGCATAAGATAGAAACTTGGTTGTCCAACATTGAATTCTATTAACCATTTTATCAATCAGAGGCTCACATTGAATTGCTGACAATATTTTTGTACTCAAGGGGACACCAAGGTATCTAAAAGGTAGATTACTTTTAGTGTATCCTAGTAATTCCATTATCTTCAGCTGTATCCTGCTATCTACACCTCCAAAATACACACTGCTTTTACTTATGTTTGCCACTAGCCGAGAAGCTGCAGAAAATATTTGAAATTATTTATGCAATGCCACAACAGGCTGCACATCTCCCTTATAAAATAACAAAAGATCATCAGCAAATCCCAATTGTATTAGTCTCACTTTAGCACACCTTGGATGAAATATGAATTCTTTGTTGTTTCCTAGCTGCTTCGTTAACCTACATAGGTACTCCATTGCAATTACAAATAGTAATGGTGAAAGGGGATTTCCCTATCTTAATCCTCTTTTTGCTTCAAATGGACTAATTGGCTTCCCATTGACAATGATTGAATATGAGACAGTACTGATGCAAACCATTACCTATCTTACATATTTTTCTGGAAGTTCTAATAACCTCATCACCTGTTCACAAAATCATAAGCCTTTTGCATATCAATCTTCAATATACATCTAGGTGATATATTCGTCCTCCCATAAACCTTGACCAGTTCATGGGTCATTATAATATTATATGTGATCAATCTTTCTGGCACAAAAGCTGTTTGACAATTGTCAATCAAATCTGGCATAACTTCCTGCAATCTAGATGTTAGTATCTTGGAGCTAATCTTATATAACACAGTACAACATGATATAGGTCTGAATTCTTTAATATTACTAGGGTTCTTCACTTTTGGTATTAGGGTAATAGTTGTACAGTTGATTGGCTTGCACATTACAGCTTCCTCAAAAAACTCCATCACATCTTGAGTTACCTCTTTCCCTATAATATGTCATACTTTATTATAGAAGAATGTATTGTATCCATCACATCATGGTGCTTTGTTGTCACTAATACCCTGTAATGTTGTCTTGATTTCATCTTCAGTTACTACTTTTATTAGCTTCATTTGTTGTTGTCTGCTTAGATTGTAGCCTTGCCGCATCACTTCTTTATTAACTGCTGGTATTTGAGTTGTTGTTGTTCCAAGTAGCTGCTTGTAGAACTTCAGTATTTCTGTTTCCACATCATTAGCATTCATGAGTAGTTGCCCTGCACTATTAGTCAATCTTCCAATGTGATTAGTTGCTTGTCTATTCTTAACACATGCATAAAAATATAATGTATTTGAATCTCCCAGGTTGAGCCATTTAATCCTTGATTTCTGCTTCATTATACTTTCCTCAATTTCAAGCCATTTAACCAACTCCATGTTTGTCTCTTTTTCTTGAGCTACACTTTTAGTGCTATTCCCAGGTCCAACCATTTGTTCCTGAATCCCTTCCAACTTTGCTCTTGCTACTTGAATTCTTTGTCCAGTACTGTTAAAATCTTGACTATTCATTTGCTTCAGCTTGGTCTTTAGTATCTTGAGTTTCATCCACACATTGTTCATTATTGTTCCACCATCCCTTTTTGTCCAGCATTTGTACACAGTATCCTCAAACTCTTTGTGTTGAGTCAAGCAATTGAAAAACTTGAAAGGTCTATTTCCATTCTATTGGTCAGTATCAATTGATATGCTCAAGGGGAAATGATAAGAAAAAACATGTTGCAACACCCTCCCCTCCATTACAGGCCATTTCTGGATCCATGTAGCATTGACAAGTATTCTGTCTATCTTACTATGGACATGATTGTTTGTCCAAGTGTACTTCCTTTCAAGTATTCTCAATTCAGTTAGTCCAGCCTCCCAAATGAACTCTTTGAAATCTTTCACTTCAAATTCCTGTACTGGGGTCCCTTGCATCCTGTCTTCACTAGATAAAATAGTATTATAGTCCCCCATTAACACACAAGGTCCATTAATACCAGCTATGATTTTTTCCATATCTTCCCATAATATTTTTCTATCTTGAACAGTATGCATACCATAAATGGCTCCAAAGTTAAACTTGTTTCCATTCTGGAATTCTGTAACCTGCCCTATTATGTATTGCTTGTGCATATTATAACTTTCAAAATCCACCTTTGTATGGTCCTAAACAACTCATATTCTTCCACCTGGAGCAGTCGTATAGTTTGCTATCCATCTCCAACTACTAAACACTTTCTTTATAACAGATTTTGCCTTTACTTCCTTAACTTTATTCTCTAACACTGCCATTAACACTACCTTATTTTATCTAATAAAGTTTTTTAGTTCTTTTTGCTTGTGCCCCTTATTCAATCCTCTAACATTCCAAAATATGATGTTTATTATTTTATGGATCTTGGATTCATAGTACCACCTCTGCCTCTATCTCTAGGCAGCTCTCTACTTTGATCTTGATTCTCTATCATTTGGACTATCTTTTGTGCAGTATCCACCAAAGCTTTGAAAGCATTACCTATATTAACTCCATTCTCATTTCTCTCTTCCACATTCTTCTTTGATGCAGACTTCCCTCTTGTCAGTTGTCATTGCTCTTCATTTGGCTTGTTGTTTTGAGCCTCTTCTTTATCCTCCTCCACTTGTTCCAGAAATCTTTCACTTGTATCTATTTTATCAATCTTTGGATCAAGTTTCCTCACAGCTTTCCATAACTGCTTCTGGTTCTGTGCTCTATAGTTTTGTTGTCCCCCTTCTTGGTTCTGCGTTTGTTGGTTATGACATGAGTGACCAATTTGACAGCATGTTTGGCAATATTGAGACTTCCATTCATATTGTATCAGTTGCTCAATCACTTTACCTGTAGGATCAATCAGTTTAATTGTCCTTGGTAAAGTCCTTGTTATGTCCATTTCAATTAGAATCCGAGCATATGAGATCCTATATATCAGCCACAGTTGTGCATGCATCAGCATAAAGAGGTTTCCCTGATCCACTCCCAATTTTGCTAAGGGCTAGGTTACTCCAATAATTCAGTGGAAGTTATGTGAATTTAACCCATAGAGGAATAGTTTTCAGTACCTCTTCACTAAAATTAAATCCCTCAGCCCATGGCTTTAATATTACTGGTCTACTATTCATAGTATAAGGCCCATTCATCAACACCTCATCCCTTTCTTCAAAATTATGCATCAAAATTATAAAGTATCCATCGTTGTGAAATAGTACCTTAGGCTTCCTGATTTTTCCCCATTGACCAGCAACAAATCGTTCAATAGCTCCTATAGTTGGAGTATTTCCAACTACGTACATAATTATTGCTCGATTCCATTGCTGCTTCTCCTCAACTATGTCTTCTTCCATAATTTGCACTACTACTTCACCATCTTGCATCACCGGTAGTATATATGTTATATCCATCCCTTTTGCAGTAAGTTTGTTTTCTTGAAGTAATCCTGCCCATGACCTTCCAATATTGTTTGTTTTCATTTGTTTGTGCTTCTCTTCCTCAACTCGTACTGGTACTGTTCCATTGCTCTGCTCCATTATAGGACTGGTAGTTACTGTTACATTGGAATTTGCTTTGCTCGTGCTCGCTCCACCAATGATGACCGGCGATATATTCAATTTAGGTATCCCTTGATTGACTGGACTCATTGGGCCAGCTGATTTACTCGATTGCAGCTCAGATCTGGCCAATTCAACCCACTGTCACTGTCTAGATCTACCTCATCCTCCTGCATTTTTCTTTTTGCATGTTGTTTTCCTTGGTCCCTTGTAATAATTTCTTTGATTCCGCGTTCAATACCTAGCATTTTGCTTTGGTTTTTCCTAGGACTCCCTCTTCCTCCCATTTCCGGCGTGTGGCACAGATTATCACATCTAACGTGCGCGTGAGAGAGAGAAAACTTTCCGAGCTCAGGTAAATAAATATATGTATTTTTATGTGGATGTTTTTTCTGCTTCCTCCATTTTTATGTTGTATGAGTGGTGGTTTTCAACATTTACATGTTACAGCATATCCCTTTTTGGAATAGATTAAAAAGAGAAAATATCATGTAAATTTGGACAAATGAAGCACATGGTAAGCGGAAGTTAGCAACCATTGAACTAGAAATTGAATTTTAATTAAATGAGAAAGTCAGACAATTGTTTCATGTTTGAAGGAAAAATTGTTAAGGCCCGCGGTATTAACACTAAATATATCGTGATTAAGTTAAAGATCTAAGTTAAAAAATAAAAATTCATCATGTTTAAGTAAAATAATGTGCGTATATATTCATGAATTTGATATAAATATTGAGTGTGTGAAAGTATTATTCGTTGTTTGAATACTTGGAATGAGGTTTTAAAAAATTTGTTTTTAGATGGATCTTCTTGTTCTTTTCCCAGAAGCTGAATTTATCCATTCTTATATGTAGTTCTTGCCCTAGAGAAAACCCGTGTACTAAATATAGAGACGGAGCCAGGATTTGAAGATTAAGAGTTTTGAATGCTACTGAACTTATAATTCATTTTCGTTACTAGGTTGACAATTGAATATTTATACATATTTAATGAATTTTCTTATACAAATATAGGATCTAAACAAAAGTTATTGGGTTTGTCCGAACCCGTAACTAAAGTGGTATCTCCGCCCCTAACTAAATATGTATATTCAGTGCTTTTGCGGTTGTTTAAAAGTATTCTATGCATGGCTATTCACGGATGTAACTTTTATCTAGTATTTAGCTGAATAAGAACATTAAAGAATAATCCTTATAACTTAACAAAGTCAATTTTAACAAAAGCCATGTTTTTATACTCTTACGAACATACTGAAAAGTGAAAAGTGAAAAAGATGAATCTTTCGTTCTGAGTCACTCTTCTATAACTAAACTATGTTTCACCCAATGTGATCATGAACGAATTCAGAGAATTACATAGATAGAACTAAACATGATCATGAACAAATTTAGCGTATTAGATAGATAGTGGAAATAAACAAACCAACCCTATTGTTGTGTACGTTAGTACAGGTTTCATTTATATCTAATTTCACGTCTGATTGCTACAAATTTTGGTATTTGTATTAGTTCATTTTTTCTTCCTTGAACAAAACATGACGATTCATACGATGATCAAACTTTCTAAATTCAAGCTTCGTGGTGTGATCACTCCTTTGAATTAAGCTGTTGAGTTACATATAAATTACTATTTAAAAGAATTAAGTAGTATACCAATTATGGGAAAATCAATAGCAACTTATAAGAACACACAGTTTTCTTAAGATCCGTTTTTATTTGTTTCACTACACTACTAAAAAAGGCTCATTTCCGATCGAAATATTCCGACGGAAAAAAGTAGTCGGAAATTTCCGACGGAATCGGTTGAAAAATGCATAAAAATATATTTTTTAATTTTTAATAATAGTTACGACTAATATCCCGTCTATATCCGTCGTAAATGTTGGCGGAAAATTCTGCATCACTGTTAGCGACCAATTCGGTCCGAAAAAATTTAAAAAAAATTAAAGAAACATAATAATAAGTAGTGACCGATTCGGTCGGAATTTTTTAATAAAACGAGGGTTGACTACTTTGACCAAATTTCCGACCGAATCGGTCGGAAAGTTTTTTTAAAAACCTTCCAGCGACCCCATTCTTTTCCTTTCCCTCTTTTCTTCCTTCTCTCTTCTCTCTCTCACTCAAACTTTCCTCCACCCAAATCCGCCGCAGCCATCAACTAGCAGGAGTCGCCGCCGCCCAGTTGCAGGTCTGTCGACGACCCTCCACTGTCAGGTAAGTTTCCCTCACCCTCCTTTGTTATTTTTTTAAAAAAATACACTGATTTTGTTTAATTGCTCATAGTTTGGTTTGTAAAAATTATTTGGTGTTAGCTAAAATAAATCTATGACTATTGTTAGTAGTTAAATTAAAGTTATATGTTGGTAATTTAGAGTTATATGTTAAATTTATATGTTGGTAATTAAGAGTTATGTGTTAAAGTTTTATGTTGGTAATTTAGAGTCATATATTGCTAGATTAAATTTATATGTTGGTAAATTACATACTAATTTGGGGATAACATTACTAAGTTGGGGATAATTTTACTAAATAATTTTGCTAACTAATTTGTAAAATTGTTACATATATAGCAATTCATCTCATTTGATTATATTGGGGAAGGTACTAATTTTAAAGGGAGAAAGTATGAAAAATGTTTTAAAACTCTTAGTGCTAGTTGACTACTTTTGACAATATGTCATACTCCTAACTTTTTTAATATCTTTTGACTTTCATGGAATTAAGCTTAATTGAAATCTATTATCAGTTTCATCCATTAAATTATTAAATTATTGTTGTAGATTAATCAATTTTTGTTTTTGCATAATTATTATTGTAGATCCCAAATATTTAAATTTATTTGATGTTTATTAATTATATATATGTTAATTTTAATGCAGGTTTTTTCCGTCCTTTCAGTCTACACATTTGGTTGTGGATTCTATGAAGCTATGTTATCATGAGCCGTGAAATTCTTGGGGACAGATAACATACAATATCAGAGACCAAATGTGGAATCAATTTAGGCTAAAAATTGATTACATTTATTTAAATAATTGTCGTTTTCATCTAATGTTACTTTTTCATATTGCAGACAAAGTGTACATGGCATCCTCAACATCAAAATAAAATAAATAGTATTTTCGAGGTTCAATTAGTTTTGCGGCCCATAAATTAAAATTGGTAATTACGTATAAAATTTTTCTTGGTATTACATATAGAATTTTATGTTTGTAATGTCTAACTCATACTTTTTGTTATGAAGGAAAAGGAAAGAGGGCAAGTGTGAGCACGTGATTTTTGTTTACGCGACAATCACTCCAAAAGAAATAAAAATAATGGCAAATGGTCTTGCTGTACAAGTTTTGAATTTTACGTGGCATTTTTTTAGTTATTTGTGATTTTGTTCAATTTTTTTTTATCAAACAAAATACAAAAATGTGTCGTGTATAGTTGGACCATAATCCGGTTATTAAAAGGAAAATCACAAAAAAAATGCATCTTTCATTCTATTTTGTCATTAAGTGATGTTAGTGTAATTAAATGTTAATTGTGTGATAATTGTTGTTTAATGTTTTTATATAGTATTAT